ACACCACACACACACCACAACAACCCAAACAACCCACACGACCACACACACCACGACAGCAGCCACCACCCACAGCACACCACCCACACCCACCACCAACCACACACACCGACACAGTACCTACATCACACCACGACACACAACAAGCACAATCACACAGCAAAACCAACACACAAAGCAAACACGACACACACACACACACCACACCACACACACAACCCAGCACACAACAGCACACACCAACCACCACACAAACAACACACACTACAACACACACACAACACACACACAAACACAACACAAAACACACACAACACACACCCAACACTCCACACACACAACACACTACACAACACACACTCAGAACAACAACACACAAAACCACACAAAACACTCACACACACAAACACCCACACACAACACACACACACACACACACAACACACACAACAACACAGACAACACACACACACACAACACACACACAACACACACACACACAACACACACACACACCCACAACACACACACACACCCACAACACACACCCACACCCACACCCACACCCACACCCACACCCACACGCACACCCACACGCACACCCACACGCACACCCACACGCGCACGCACACGCACACGCACACGCACACGCACACGCACACGCACACGCACACGCACACGCACACGCACACGCACACGCACACGCACACGCACACGCGCACGCGCACGCGCACGCGCACGCGCACGCACACGCACACGCACACGCACACGCACACGCACACGCACACGCACACGCACACGCACGTGACTGTATATAATTGAATGTCAGTTGAATGGATGACTTTGCTACTGGAGTCAACAAATCATTTTCCTGGTGGATGTTTTTGTGGTTTGGCCAGGCTATACTAAGATGAGCAAACTTAATGCGGCGTTGCTGCCCTTCAATCCAAGCAGTGGAGCAAAGAATCGTTTATCTGGGTGTGCCTGGAAATTACGTCCCCTGTAAATTGTCATTTTAGTAGGGACAATCATGGCGAATCAATGGACTTGGCGGTACCCTATTTTCAGGCAAAACCATCCGAAAAAGTGCTCCAATCTTTGTGTCAGGATGCGTACGAGCTCACGCGCATCCTGTCTGCCAACAAGACCTACGCGGAAGACTTCGATCCAAAGGCAGATGTTTCCGCAGCAAGTGTGGAAAACAGCTGTGAAAGAATGATCCGTAATTTCAGACTTGAAGTTGCCGGCGGATACTTATGACATCATCTAGAAACACATATGCAGGACACACCCTAGATTTGCTGGTAAGAAAAACTACGGCTTCCTGTAGGATTTTCCCTTCAACCAATACATTGAAGATCATTGAAGTACTCTCCATTCATCAAACATGGCAATGGAAACTCCTCCAATTATTGATGATGTTCCCACTAAAACCCCACCAATTTATAGGGGATTTCCCAGCCTGCCACGTTTGATGAATGGAGGGTATCTTCCCATGTTGGCGACGGGTGCGGCCCGGCCCAGGTGACCGCAGAGGCCCTGGAGAACTTCTACAAGTCGCGGATGCCGCGTGTGGCGGGTATCTCGTTGCTCTCGGGCTTGGCCTCGGATCTGATTATCAACGTCCGGAGTCCCAGAGTCCCAGAGTTCTGGGATCCTATGATGTGGTATGCATTAGTATGATTTAATAATACTTGTTATTTCTATATCTGAATATATATCTGATATACAATGATGAGATCTGGGGACCAAAATTCAGTCAGCAATGAAGGATTGCATCGCCTCACCGCAGATTTTGTTTGGGCAGAACCCCAAAATGGCACGATTTAAATGAAGGCTGGGTGATGTGCTCAAACTAGTACGTTCTGTATTGACAATTGATTTCTTGCTTGTTTGAATGCTGACTCCCTCCCTCCCTCCCTCCCCTTCCCTCTCTTTCTCCCCATCTTCAAGAACATGTATCGGAAAGGCCTCCCCTTCTCAAATACTTGGCTCTGGCACATTTGTGTAAGGAATATTTCTGAGTTTGTGCCACGGCTGCCACGGTCTTGTTTCTTCCCCGTTCTGGTCCAGAGCTAGTTGCAGCCTAGGCCTTTGGAACTCCGTGGTCGCCGCATGACGTGACTCAGCCAGAGATGCATTGCATTCATTGCAAGTTTGACGGCACAAGACAAGGCATGTTGGTGTTGAAGGAGGCTAGGAGAGCAAGCTATTGAGCTGCTCAGTAAACACAATTTAAATTGTCCTGTTTGGCATGAAACTTGACTCATATCGCTACATGTTTTATGTACCACAGTGAAACGAATGAAACGAGTTGCAGCGCCATTGATAGAACATCGCTCCACATATTCCTCGCCAAGGACAAGGGCACGGATTGGAGATCTTATTTGACATTGGGCTGGAAGCTTGCTTATGACCAGTCACCTGTTCACCTGATCTCTGTTGATGGGAGATTCTGAAAAAATGTCGTCCAAAAACCCACAGAGTTGCTTCTGTAAGGAAACCCTTCCTTCAGTTCATCTTCTTTCCTTTGCAGCTCCTCAGAGGCATTCAGAGATGGCAAAAGGTTTTCGTTACCATTCGCGACCTTGAAGCGGAGATTGACAAAGCCATGCCATGTGCTTCACAACAAGAACACCTGCAGCTGGCTCCACTTCCCATTAGATATCCTTATCTAGAGATCCATATCTTCATTACAACTGATTGCAGAGGCTCAACGTGTGTGTGTGTTGTGTGTTGTGTGTTGTGTGTTGTGTGTTGTGTGTGTGTGTTGTGTTTCAGGTTGCTGTGTTGCTCTGTGTTGCGTTGTTGCGTAACATCGTATTGAATTACTTGTGGTGTTGTGTCATTGCGTTGCGGTGTGATGTCATCGGGTTACGTGAGCTATTCTCATGCAACGCATGGAACAGACTGCAATCCCACACCAGAATGCAATGCCATGCCATGCCAGATCAAATTCTGCTATACCGTAGCATAACCTGCAATTGTGGAAGCTACTGCCATCAAACAACGTATTATAGACAACGTTTTAACCTGGAAACATGCAATGCCAAGCATGCAATGCCCAGTATGCAATGCAACCCAACACAATGCAAAATCACGATACGGACCTCGAACGTATGACAATGCATTGAAGTCAACGTATTTGAATGTATTCAATGCAATTAATGCACAATGTTCACGCAACGGGCATCGCACTGATTTGATGGCATTTCACATGATGCAGCGTCGGATTCTTTGGTGGTGCCAATTGGTTACAGCACTGGAGCCGCAGCATGAGTATATCTACTGCGTGGCTTTCGAGGTTCCTTTTCCTGTACTCCAACCATCCCAGTGGCGGCATGGGGGACCTCCCCCAGAGGATGAAGGAAGAGTGGGAGAAGCGACACAAGAAATCTGCCGAGGTTCGATTGGCTGTGACAAGATGCAGTGCCGTTTCGATGGTTTTTCCTGGTTTCCAGGCTGCCTTCGCTGCGAAGAGACTGGGCAAGCCAACCAGACACTTTGGCAGCAAGGAGGAGGTGTATCCCAGTTGGTATGTGATTAATTGATAGATTTGATAGATATTACTCACTATGGTTAAATTGTATAACTTACATACAGTAAGTCACCGCAATGGGACAAAGCCCCGAGCCCAGACCGTTTTGTACAATGCCGGAAGGCGCCAGCCTTCTGATTTCCACGAATGGGATAGATTCGATACACCTTGGGTTGGAGGCTCACAAGTGAGAACCTCTCAACAGAGAAGCCTCAACAGCTGCAGTCTGAAGTTTAGCTAAGCAAGATCAGGAATCAAGCCGTGTCTTATCAGAAACTCGTGTCACTTCCATGCTATGTTTGTCCGAAATTCAAGCAAAACCAGCACAGATGACGAACAGGAAAGGGAGGTACGAAGCATCATAGAATCATAGAATCATGGCCGTTGATTCCTTTGATGCCCAGCTGTGATTGCTTTTGTATGTTTTTGTCCTTTTACAGGTCATCAGCCATCCTTCTTCGCGAAAGTCAATGCCGTGGAAGGAGACGCTGTTGAAGATGCTGTTGCAGAGAAGGTGGGGCAGCTGGAAGAACCACCGACTGTTTAAAGCATGTGGGATGATACAAATGAAATCACAAAAGAATATGATTCGCAGGTAGTAGCAGATTATTATGTGCTTACAAATAACCATAGATGTATGTAAAAAGAAGATATTGGCAGACCAAGAAAAACGTGTATAGATTATTCAACGCCTCACTGTGTCTAACTACCAAGTATCAATACAAATTGATGTTCATTTGGAGCCGCACAACTCGCTTGTCATCAATGCCATTTCACATAGTGAACAAAGAGCAGTTTTTGGGTGGTAATCAAGGAGTCTTGTTTCTCCTGCGTATCCTGCATAGATTTGACCACATAACCCTCTGCATTGTGTCGCTGAAACTCACATGGAGATGCTTGATGAATGGCTTGATGAGATCATTCTGCTGATCTCACCACTCAACTGACTTCATCCATTCCCAAGGTGCCAGCATAGCTGAACCGAGGGCTTGTCTTGCGAAGGATTCCAAGCCATGCTTGTGCCAGGGCTGGAGCAAACTTATCATAACCCCACAACGAAAATTGCACCACAGTACCGCGCTTGACAAACTGGTTTTGGACAGACAGATCCTTCAAATGACATGCTCTAACCATCTTCCAATTTAGGAAATTCACTGTGTTGTGAAAAATGTGTCTGTGTGACTAATCGTATTGACGCCACTGCTTTGAAGCTGGCTTTGCACCCGTCGTCGGGACGTTGAAAACAGCGCCCGCAAGACGGCGTTTGGCCGAAACGTACGGTCAATGGCAGTAGAGCTACTGCCCCATGTCCGAGGATTTCTGGGATTTTCGACGACTGAACACCTCAGACCTGACAGCACATGCATGGTACTTGGACATACAAGTTTTATTCAACCCACAACAAGCATGCAGACCAGCCAAATTTTGAGCAACAAACCTATCCCGGCCACACGTCATTTTCTTGCCGACCTCCAAGTAATTCAGATGTTTTCTTCGATTGGCTTGGTTCGTCTCCGTATCTGGTGCCCAAGTCCGTTGCAGCACCAGTTGAAAGCTAGTGAAAAAACTCTTTGTATATATATATATGCTTTCGACAGACAATTTGGGAATCTGACGGCCAGAGGTAGATTTTGATTTTTATCAACCAAAAAGAACAATGACTGATGTCCACTATCCAATGAAATTTGGCCGTAATTTCATAGAAAGGGCAGTTGAAGACAATGACGGAAATGACTAGATCTTTCAGGTTGATCATCCCAGAAATGTCACCATGATCCCAGCGGCATCACAGTTTCAGAGGTTTCACAGGAACAAAACAATATTGATATACACATATTATACACTGATATACATTGGCTTTGTGATTGAATCCAGGCTGATTGAATCCAGGTAGAACAGATGGAATCATTTTCTTGGTCTTCCGGGGTTGATACTGTTTGAATCTACACAACTGCCGAGCATTTGGCTAAGCTTTGCCTTTCGTGCCTCATTGAAGCTGACAAAGCCATCATATCCTTTTCATTCCACACCAAATGCATCTACAGGTAGCTTGTGAGAGTCTAGATGTGTTTGGGTGGAAGAAGCTAGAATTCTTGCACATTTGACCTGGAAAACTTCATGCTTTGCCCCAAACTTCATGACAGTCCGAGCATAAAGCCTCTCACCGAATTCTTCCCCGAATTCCCCAATTATCTCCACAGTTCCCAGCTATTTCAAGAGAGTGACCACCAAGAGCGGTGATGCCTATCATGGTGATTGCCACGTGGCGACAACTTTGCTGCCGGGTAAAGTCCAAAGTTTTTGCAGCTCTCGGCCGTCAAGGGCAAGCAGAGGAAGAAAACAATAATGAATAAACAGTACATTCTTAATCATTCTTATGTATATATACATACACATACACATATCGAAATAAGATTGGATTCAATTTTCGATAAGATATGTCCATTTAACTTTTGAGATGAGGTTACTGTAGAGCTTTGTAGACCGGCAATATGAAGGTATCGGAATCACGGAAATATGCGGTGTTTTTGCGATATTTAGGTGGTGACACTATTTTTTAAGACATGAATATACACAAGACAGAGGGCGGATGACGGACGACGAGGAGGACGGAGGACGCAGGACGGAGTGGAGGACGAAGGACAAAGGATGGAGCAAAGAAGACGGAGGAAAGAAGACGGAGGATGGAGGACAACGGAGGGGGATGGAAAATGGAAAACGGAAGACCGAGGAAAGAGGATGGAAGAGGTAGGACGCAAAAAACGATGGAAAATAAACAATAAAATTGGAACGGATTTTAACTATATTATATATAACCCCCGTCCGGGGTACCTAAATAGAATGAGGGGGCAGGAGCCCCTTTTAAAATAAAAAAAATAAAAATAAAATGAAAATAAAATGGGTCAGACCCCAGCATTTTATTTTGTGGGTGCATTTTATTTTTTGAGGTGCCTAACCCATCAAGTTAGCTGACAGAGATAGCATGATAGCAAAGATGCACAGCTGTGAACGGTCTGATCATTTTGTGAAACATTCGAGAGATTTGGAATTACTTGGACATTAACTTCGAAAATGGGTTGGCCCCCCTCATTTTCTATTGCCTTCCTTGGTCAACAAAAGACACACGGGCAGCTTACAGCAGCCAATGAGATTTCGTAAATTTATTTATAGTTATTTGTATCTTTTCTAGAAACCGTCCAGATGTCAGAAGTGGAACCAATTATATTCTATATATATATATTATATTGATCGAAATTCACGCAATTTTTCTTTCTTGTTGACACGTGAAAAGGCTAAACAAGACTAAGTAAAACTAAACATGGTTAAAACCAATCAAATAAGGAAACAATGTAAAGGACTTAACAAGACTAAACAAGACGAAACATGGTTAAAACCAATCAAATAAAGAAACAAGACTAAACAAGAT